AAATACAATGTCAGGATAAAATAAATATCTGATGACAAATTTAAATAAAAAAAAATTTTCCAACCCCTCATAATAATAATAATAATCAAAGTACGGAGTAGTTTTAATTTTTTTTTGTATGTATAATTATAAATGATGTCAAAGAAATAATTGATTGCGATGATTCAGTGAAAATTTTTTTTTTTTTTTTAAGAATTTTTTTTGAGAATTTGAATGAATGAATGAATGAATGAATGAATGATTAAATAAATCAGGAAATGATTGAGTCATTCTCTTAAACTATGAATATGTGAGTACATGGAAATGTTTTTTTTTTTTTTTTATCTTAAATATAATTGTTTACAATTAACTAATGAAATAAATATAATTTATTTAATTAAATTTAATAATATGAATAAAGCAATGGAGAAATAATTTTTTTGAAAAAATTTGAATAAGGGAGAAAGACAATTAGAAAAAATAAATAAAATAATTAATTAATAACAAATTATTTCCTTGTTTAAAATCACATAAATATATTTATTGTTTTTTTTTTTTTTTTGTTCATGTCGTTGGTAGTATTTTTTGCATAGGTTTGCTTAATTTTTTTTTTTTTTTTTTTTTTTTGTTCACTTATTGAATTTCTAAACAGTTTTTTTTTTTTTTATTTATTTATTTAAAATTTGCTATCGTCAGACATTACAAAAAAAAAAAAAAAAAAGAGAGAGAGAGAGAGAGAAAAAAATTTTCGGCGTTGTGTGTTTTAATAACAACTATTTTAATGATCAAAAAAAAATTTTATAAAGCCAGTGGCCATCTTTTTTCTATTTATCCAAAAGAATGTTGTACTTAATTATATTTTAATTATTTTTCACAAAAATGATTTTTAAACAAAAAATAATAATAATGATTGTTTCATTAGTTTTTCATTTATTATTTAAAAAAAAACAATAAAGTAAATATAAAAATTTTTGAATCTTGGCGACCTTGGGGTCAAGTTTAAAGCCCTCCAGTTTGTCTAATACACCAGACCATTGGTCTGGATAAAAAAAAAAAAAAAAAAAATTCTTTCTTTCTCGTGGAATTTATTAAAAAAAAAAAAAAAAAAAAAAAATTCTTTCTTTCTCGTGGAATTTATTAAAAAAAAAAAAAAAAAAAAAAAAAAAATGTCGAGTTCGCTACAATAATAAAAATGATCGTACAAATCAAGTATGTTTTTATTATTATTATTATTATTATTATTATTATTACGTCTTTTTATATTTTTTTTTTTTTTTTTTTTTACGCAAAATTATCGTATTGCGAAGAATAAAATTTTTTGTAAAATAATAATAATAATAATAATAATAATGTTTATAACAATTTGTCAAGGATTGTAAAACGGTTATAACGTTATAACCTTAAACCTTACATGTTTTCGTGTTTTCGCGTTTTGTTTTTTATTATTATTATTATTATTTTCCTTCATTATTTTTATTTAATTAATCTTTTGATATGTCTAAGTATTTGTCCTCATTGTAAATTTTTATTTATTTCGTGCCCGTATCGTTTAATTATTATTATTATTATTTTCTTTTATACCCTCATTGTTTATCTAATTAAAAATACATTTGTGAAAATAATGTTTAAGAAAAAATTTCAGTAGGTTTTATATTTTTTTTTTTTTTTTTTTGAGTACGTTTTTAAATATACTTAATGGGAAGACACGTTACTTATCGCGGAAAACCCTCAAAAAATAAATAAATAAGATAAGCCAAAAAAAAACTTTGTACTTGTTAGAAAAAATTTAAATTTAATATTATGTACGTGATGATACATGGCGTAATCTACGGTCGCCATATGTATGACAACAATGAAAGAAATTAATCTTTTTTTTTTTTTTTTTTTTTAAATCGCGATAAATAAATAATTATTTTTCAACAACGTATTCGAGCTATTCGTAAACGCTCTCGAATTTTAAAAGGTTTTTTTTTTTTCTGAGATTCGTTAAAAAAAAAAAAAAAAAGCGTTAACACTTTTTATCTATTCGACAAAAAAAAAAAAAAAAAAAAAAAACGTTTAATTGTTAAACAGACGACGTGTTACGTATTTAAACGGAGATAAATCACAGCCTTCTCGATTTTGTTTTTCAAACGATTAATAAAATTTTTTTTTTTTTTTTTTTTTTTAAATGAAAAGTTTTACACATTTTTTTTATATGGTAGCACGATTCAACTTAAAAAATTTTCTCAAGTCAAACGTAAATTATTAGTAATTAATCGATTTTCACGCTTACATTCCGTGGTAGTTATTACATTTTTAAAATTTTTTTTAGGTTTTCTTAAAATGAAATGCGTAGAAAAAGGTTTTAGTCTATCGTTCTAGTCTTTTACATAACTTGTTGCGCGTTAATAAAACAGGATCATTTTTTTTTTGAATCAGGTTTTTTTTTTTTTAAATAATAATATTTATTATAAATATTAATAGAAATTCTTTTCTACGATGGTATGTGAACTTTAAATACTTAATAGTTAATTTTTAAATTTAGATAGGGGAGTAGTTATTACTTTTTTTTTTTTTTTCAACATGGTCGCCATTAACGATGACACCTTGATAATTTACGCGGTATTAACAAAGGGAAAGGAAGGGATAATTATGTTTAAATATATTTATGATAAATAATAACAAATTGTGGTAATAAGTTTATAAAATGATATAACATTTCCCCCCCCCCCCAAAAAAAAAAAAAAAAGAATTGAGCATTGCTCATAATTTCGACTAAAAAAATTTTATAAAATTTAACGGTTTTTTATTGTTAATAATTGTTTTAACCGGAATTTACTGTTTGCAGATTCTACAGACATTATTGACTGCAAGCTAAAATTAATTCTTGGACTAATATGGACGTTAATTTTACATTACTCAATTTCCATGCCCGTTTGGGATGGGGAAGACGATTTAACAAATGGAGAAAAGGGAGCCACTCCAAAACAAAGGTAATTTTTTTTCTTCTTTTCTTTTTTCCTTTGAATTTTCAATTTAATCAATGATGATGAAATATATTTTCCATTCTTTGAAAATTACAATAATTGTTTTTAATATTGATTTCAGACTCCTTCACTGGATTCAAAGCAAAGTAAATGATTTGCCAATAGGAAATTTTACAACAGACTGGAATGATGGAAAAGCCGTTGGAGCTTTAGTAGATTCTGTTGCTCCTGGACTTTGTCCAGATTGGGAAGATTGGGATCCGAAAAATTCGTTAAATAATGCAACGGAAGCCATGAACTTAGCTGACGATTGGTTAAACGTTCGTCAGGTAAATTATTACATTCAATATTAATAATAATAATAATAATAAGTTAGTGATTGTATAATATTTGATTTAATTAAATATTGATTTATTTGTATTTCTTGGTTTATATACTTCAAAGTAGTTAATCATGAAAAGTTTGAATTAAATTGCAATTTAAAAAAAAAATTTTTTATTTTTTAGTTAATTAAGCCTGAAGAACTTGTAAATCCAAACGTAGACGAATTGTCAATGATGACTTATTTATCACAATATCCAAATGCAAAATTGAAAAGTGGAGCACCCTTGAGACCGAAAAGCGATCCCCATCGGTACGTATTAATTCTATAATAATAATAATAATAATAATAATAATATTCGGATTGAGTTGTTGTTTTCAATGCTTACGAAAGTTTAACGAATTATATGCTTAAAAGGTTTTAAAAGCATTTATTATATTGTAAAAAATACTAATAAAAATAATGTAATTTGTTTAAGTAATAATTCTTACAATCATAAACACTCCCTATCTCAATCAGGCTAAAAAAAATTACATTTCATTAATTTTATTCCATATTTTATCAAATTATTCTTTTAACTTGTACGCAACAGTGTAAAGATCAAATCCGTTGACAATAAGAGAAAAAAAAAATATTCAAAATACACCCACCAGTTAGTTGTAGTCAAAAAATGTAAAATAATTAGAAATATTATTATTATTATTATACATGAAATGTGTTTAACATTGTATTGTAAGTAAGACAGGTTAACTGAAATTTAATAGATTTACAATTTAAGTATTTTTTAAATAAATGATGACTACAGAGCAGTCATTTCCATAAAACTTAAAAAAAAAAAAAAATTGTGATCGACCTTTTTAAAAAATGTTTTAAACTTTTCAGAGTTAGAGCTTACGGTCCTGGAATAGAGCCTCGCGGAAACGTTGTTGGAACTCCTTGCAATTTTACTGTAGAAACTTTTTCTGCCGGTAAAGGAAACGTTGAAGTTATGGTTATTAACTCTCAAGGCCAACAAGAACCTGTTAGTAGTAATAAAAACGTTTTTCGAATTAACTTCTTAATAACAATAAAACATTTTTCAATAATCAATCAATATTGAATTACTTTTAATGTAAAAGTAAAAAAAAAACTGAATATTCGTTCAGACAATTAATTCGCTATTTAATAAAAATGTAAAGTAAAAAAAAAAAATAATAATAATAATTGTTTTTTTTTTTTAGGTAAATATCAAGTATAATAACGACAGAAATATGACTTACAGTGTTTTTTACATTCCTCAAATGGAAGGTAATTATAAAATTTTTGTGAAATACGCGGGGAAAGATATATCGAAATCTCCGTTTCAAGTATTTGTGGAAGATGGACCGGGAGACGCGTCCAAAGTTACTGCATTTGGACCAGGGCTTGAACCCGAAGGCAATGTTGCGAATCGAACGCTTCATTTTGATATATCCACCAAAGGTAAGCCATAAATGGCCTAAACAATGACCTAAATTCATTGCAATTAATCAATAGTTTAATTAAGGTTAAATTTTTACTCGTTAAAAAATTTTTATTAAATTAATATTTGTGCAGAAGTCAGAGTAATCATTTTTTTTTTTTTTTTAGATGCCAAAAAAGGTGTTCCCGAAGTTATCATTCTCGATTCAGCAGGAGTAAAGAGCACTGTTCCAGCAAAAGTATGGCAAGTTTCACCGGAGCTTTGGAGATGTGAATACACACCTCATTCTGTCGGATTGCATTCCATTAATATTTTATTCGCCGGACAACCTATTCCACATAGTCCTTATGGAGTTCGCATATCACCAGGTATTTTTTGTTTATTATATTGTGTCTTAAATGTATGTATGAATTATTCAGTCCTAAAATAAAAAATATTAAATTTTCATTTTTTGTTCCAGTTTCGGATGCCAAAAAAGTTAGAGTAACTGGTAGAGGAGTTCAAGCTACGGGTGTTCGGGTGCAAGATGTGGCTGATTTCAAAATCCATATGGAAAAAGCTGGAGAAGGTACTCCCGAAGTGCGGGTTATAGGACCAGGTTAGTAACTATCGGATAATTTGTAAATTTTTTGTAAGTAGAAAATCCTGAATAAAAAATATTTATTCTTCAGGCGGTGTTAACGAGCCGGTAAAAATTCAAAAACTCGACAAATTCACGTATGAGGCGGCTTATAAACCGAGGAAAGAAGGAAGACATGTTGTTATGATAACTTTAGCGGAACAAGAAATTCCTCGCTCTCCTTTTGAAGTTAATGTTGGACCTTATAAAGAAACTAATATTAAAGCTTACGGACCTGGATTATCAGGAGGTGTTGTCGGGTGCCCCGCACTTTTTACTGTTGAAACCAACGGGGAAACTGGAGCATTAGGTAATTTTCTAAAACAAAGTTTTGAATAAATAATTTGTGAAAAAATTTTATTTATGCTTTTATCTTTTTATCATTGAATTTTTTTTTGTATTTAGGGTTTAGTATCGAAGGCCCATCTCAAGCAAAAATAAATTGTAAAGACAATGGGGATGGTTCTGCGGATGTTTGCTATTTTCCGACTGCTCCTGGTGAATACGCCGTCCATATTCTTTGCGACAATGAAGACATCCCGAAATCTCCTTACATGTCTAATATTCTTCCCGCAGAAAATTTTTACCCCGACAAAGTAGGAATATTTAAGTTATTTTACCTTCTAACACTAATCTGCATGTTTTTATTTTTCTAAAATTTTTTTTTTTTTTTTACTTGCAGGTTGAATGCAGTGGACAAGGATTACAAGAAAATGGATTGATTTCAGGACAAAAAACTAATTTTAAAATTGATACGAGAAAAGCGGGAAAAGCTCCTCTTGACGTTGAAATTTTAGACAAAAAGGGGGTTCCCATAGATTCTTTTATAACCGAAAATAACGATGGTACTTATACTTGCACATATACTCCGACGGATTCTAAACACACTATTCAGGTGACTAAATTGACTTTTTTATGTGGTGAAATCGGTCAACTTATAACATTTTTAATTGTATTCATTTTACAAAAAAAAAATGTACAGGTTAATTACGGAGGAGTTGCTGTAAAAAATAGTCCGTTTAGAATTAACGTCGGTGAAGCAACATTTATTGACCGTATACGAATTTACGGACCTGGCGTAGAAAAAAACGTTAAAAGCAATAATCCCACTCATTTCACTGTTGATTGCAAAGAAGCTGGTGCAGGTAATTATTATTGTTCTCTTTTTTGCTTGTTTGTTTGTTTTACTATAAATTCAAATATTATTTTTTATTAAAAAAAAAAAAAAAAAAAAATCAAATTCTAGGTGATCTGCGATTGTTCATGGTGAATGAAAACAAAAGCGAAGTGCCACTTAAGGTGACCGACGTGGGAAATAAAATTTATGTCGTCGAATATTATCCTTCCCTTCCCGGGATTCACACACTTACTGCGTATTACGGTAACGCACCAATTTTACCAAATCCATTGAAAATCCCAGTTTCTCCTCACGTGGATCCGTCGGCAATCAGAGTAGATGATTTCAATAAAAGTAAGATTTATTTATTACTCATATTTTTTTTTTTTTTGAAATTTAAAAGGGATATAATAGAACCATGCGATCATTATTTAGTTAACATATTATATTTAAAAAAATTAATCATAATCAGACGATTATGTAATAAACTTTATCACAAAAAAATTATTTTATATTTTTATATTAATTCGTTTCTGTTTTGAATTTAATGAATATTTAAAAAAATATTTAAAAAACTAAAAATAGTATCAGTTGATTTATCTCTTACAAAAAAAAAAAAAAGTAAAATTAATGTAAAATTTTCCGGGGAACCAAAAAAATGCTTTGATGTGAAAATTTATCTTTACGATTTTTTTTGAATACCCTTTTGGAAATGAAGTGGCCTGTGTGAGAGCATCAGGCTTAGGCTTAAGTAGAGGATTGGTGAGATACCCCGCTGAATTCATAATAGACACGAGGGGAGCCGGACAAGGAAGTCTTGGGGTAACCGTAGAAGGCCCCTGTGAAGCTGCCATTAACTGCCGTGATAACGGCGACGGAACGTGTTCGGTAGCTTACCTACCGACTGAATCTGGAGATTATGTCGTTAACATAACGTTTAATAACGAGCACATACAAGGATCTCCCTTTCAAGCCATTATTTTATCAGATGACGATATCAAAGACATTGAAGTCTCTGGAAATGGAATTCAGTATGAGGGTACAAATGAAAAGTTTAAAATTGTTTTGAAACTTTGATTTTTCATTTTATTTTTGTTTCTGATAAAAAAATTACAAGTTAACCAAATAATTTAATTTTTTTAATGTTTTTTTTTTTTTTTTTTAATAAAAATTAAAAGGCCACGAATTGTATGAATGTCACAACTGAAATACAATTTATAATTTTTTGCGATAACTTGCACACTAATGACACGATAATTTTAATTTTAACACACATACATGTATATATATTTTTTTTTTAGCATGGTTTTTAATTGAAAAATTGTTTTTGTTTTTAAATGTTTTTATTTATTTATTTATTTATTTTAATTTTTTGATTTGTAATAAAGTTATTTTTTTAAAAAAAAAAAAAAAAAAAAAACTAAAAAATGAAAATTAAAAAAAAATTTTTAAAGCAGTGTTCTGGTACATTTTATATATCTACAGCATCTAAAATTAAATTTTGTACGTAACTTTAATTTATTTAGAGTGTTTAATTATAAAAAAAAAAGTAATAATAATAATAATGACTGACTACTTGAAATTGATTGTTTGATTTACGAAATTCAATTGACAACAAGACAAATTGTTGATTTACATGCAAATGAATTTAAAATACAAATTTTTTTTTTTTTTTTTATTATTTTAGGTGTGTATGTTGATTCACCGACAAATTTTATTATCGATTCTCGAGCTGTCAACTGTCAAACAGATGGTAAAGTAACATGTAATATAATGAATCCATCGGGAAAAAAAACGGAAAACGTGATTTCACCCATGATGGATGGAATATATAAAGTCAGTTACACTCCTTTTGAAGAAGGTAATTTTTGATTAATTTATTTATAAATAAAAAAAGTACTTTTAATTTAAGATAAATCTGATGATGAATCTAATAACTTTTGCCGCAAAAACAAATGATAGTTGGTCTAAATCATGTAAAATTAAAAAAATTTTTTTTTTTCGGTTAAGGTGTTCACACAATCGATATTTTATACGATGGAATTCCAATATCCGGATCTCCGTTTTTAGTAAACGTTCAACGGGAATGCAGTCCTAAAAAATGTCGAGCATACGGACCGGGATTGCAAAAAGGTTTTACAAATAAACCCAACACGTTTACCGTCGAAACAAAAGGTAAAATTAAATTCAAAATTTCAAATTAATTTGGAATTATAATTAAATTACAACGTGTTTAATTCTGAAATTTTAGGTGCCGGAACTGGTGGATTAGGTTTGACAATAGAAGGACCATCGGAAGCTAAAGTAACGTGTAAAGACAACAGAGATGGCTCTTGCACCGTGGAATATGTTCCCACCGAACCTGGAGATTACGATGTCAGCATAAAATTTTCCGATCAACACATTACGGGGTCGCCATTTTCCGTAAGTAATTTTTTTCTTTATTGTTTTTTAAATTAATTTTTTTAATAAAAGGTAAGTGGTGAATTTAAAAAAAAAAATTTTTTTTAGGTTCCAGTCGAGAGGGAAGTAAATCCTAATTTGGTAAGAGCCTACGGTACAGGTCTCGAATCAAGTAATTGCAGGAGTCAAGTTCCTTCCACTTTTACCATTGATGCGTCTAAAGCAGGGAAAGCTCCTCTCGGGGTTGATATATCCACAACTGATGGTAATAATAATAATAATAATAATAATATTTTTTTGTAAGATGTTGGTTTTTTTTTAAAATTTGAATAATTTTTCATTTTTATTAAATTATTGCAGGCCCGTTAAAATCTGAAATTAAAGACAATGAAGATGGAACTTTTACAGTTTTTTATGTTCCTCCCGCGGAAGGAGCAAATATTAGCGCAAGAGTTACTTACGATCATAAAGATATACCTAACAGGTACGAGGATTGATATTTTTTAATTTTAAGTTTTTATTATTATTTCACTTTCGATTTTTTTTTTATTTTTTTTTTTATTTTTTTTCAGTCCGTTTTATTTAAATGTTTTACCCACCGTGGAAACGGATAAAGTAAAACTTAGAGGTCCAGGTATTTCAAACAAAGGAATTCCCGCATCCGTTCCAACTGATTTCACGATTGATGTATCCGATGCTGGATATGGAGATTTACAAGTACAAGTTTTGGTAAGAATTATTTATTTAATTTTTTTTTTTTTTTTTTAATAATTACAGAGTAAAAATTTTTTAAATGATTGTTTTATTTTATTTTTTATTTAGGGACCGGATGGATATCAAAAAAAAGTAAAAATTTTGGAGGAAGGAAATGGTATATTTAAAGCTACGTACACTCCGGACGATTGTGGAAAGTATAAAATCAATGTTAAATATGGCGGAATGGATTTGCCGGTTTCTCCAGTTAACGTTCAAGCAGTTGCTACGGGAAATGTAAGAATTTATTTATTAATTTTTTTTTTTTTAAATTTTTATTTTTATAAATGATTATTTTAAATTTAAAAAAAATTTTTTTTTTTTTTTTTTTTTTTTTTCAAGGCTGAAAAATGTCAAATCGTGGAAGGAATTCAAAGAAATTTAACGAGTGGCGAAGAATATTGCATTACCGTCAATGCTAAAAACGCCGGATACGGAGCCGTGACGTGTAAAATCCGTTCTTCTTCTGGAAGGTAATGATAATTCTTTTATTTAATTTAAAAAAAAAAAAATTTTTTCTCCAGAAAACACAAGAGTTGTTTACGATTAATATTCAACTTACGCGTTATTCATTTTCTCAGTGATTTAGATATTGATATTGAAGATAACGGAGATGGAACGTTTAAAATTTATTACACGGTTCAAGATGCTGGAGAATATACAATAAGTATTAAATTTGGCGGTCAACCCATTCCCGATGGATTTTACAGTTTTACGGTAAGTCTATCGCAAAAACTTATTTTTTTTTTTTCCATTTTAGTTATTAGAAGTCACGTGATATCTTGCATACTTGCTTTAAATGAGTTAAAACAATTAAAAAAAAAAGGCCAAATGATATTTTTTTTTTATAAAATCAAAGTTTCAAATCGTGAGTAACCTGATGATTAAGAGGAATTATCAAAATAATTAAATTTTAATTTAAACGTGGGATTAGAATTAATAATAAAATTTCGATGGGGAAATCTTAATAAATTATAAAGAGAAAAAATTAAAATAATACAAAATTTGAAATTTACCCAAGTAATAAATTGCGAGGAGGGCGCTTAGATAACGGCATTAAAATTATTATTATTATTATTATTATTATTATTATTATTAATGTGTTTACTTTAAAATCTCGGTTTAATTATAATAATTTTCCCGTTGTTAAAATAACAAAAAAAAAAAAAAAAAAAAATTTAAACATTCGTCCCACACCGTGTGAAAAGTTTTGACAAACCGTCATTTCATCCTGTCGACGGTTGTCTCACAAAGTTTAAGGAAAATTATGACGAAAATATTTTATTCCTATTCTTAACGTTAACATTATTTGATAATGAAAGAAAGCTGATTTGCATTATTATTATTATTATTATTATTATTGTTTTACACGGGGAGTATTTTTTTATAAATCGTCCGTCGGATTTTCTTATAATTCTTCGATCGTGATAAGAAATTAGGTTTTTTTTTTTTTTTTTTTTTTTTTTTTTTTAATCAAAAAGTTTAAGCTTGAATAATTTTTTTTATTTTTAATTAATTTGTTTCTCCCCCCTCCCCAACCCCCCCCCCGAAAAAAATTTAAAAAAAAAAATTTAAATCGTAGGAGATTTTTTACTGTCCTCGATTCGAAAAAAAAAAAAATTTTTTTTTTTTTTCTAAAATCACGACAGGAAATGATACATTTTTGGGTCGACACACATTTTTTTCTTTTTTTTTTTTTTTATTGAAATTTATCGAAAATCGATTTAAAAATAGTTTAAATAAATAAATAAATACAAACAATGTGTTTGTTATTAGCTATTCGTATAAAAGAAGAAGAAAAAAAATATATCAATGATATTGTTTGTTTGTTTGTTTGTTTGTTTTAAAAATTTTTTTTTTTTTTGATGCAAACAATATGGTTAGATTTTTTGTTTAAAATTAATTACTATTATTATTATTATTGTTATTATTATTATTATTTGAGAAATCTCATTAATCTTTTAAAGAAGTTTTTTCTTTTCTGTTTTTTCTGACACTAATGAAAATGACCAACAAGTAAAAGAAAAAAAACGGTAAATTTTAATGAAAAACAAACAAACAAACAAACAAACAAAGTTGACATTATTATGGAAGGTTTTTTTTTTTTTTTTTTTAAATTTAATTTTTACAATTTAAATTTTTTAAATGATATGTAGTAGTTAGTAGGGGAGACAAAAATAAATGTTTTGCCATAGTTTTCGATTGCATTCATCTAAAAATAAATAAAAAGAAGGAAAAAAAAGAAGAGAGATGGAAGATAAAATAAAAAATAAAAAAAGAAAAATAAAAAAAAAAGAAATGTATCTTTCGGTGTTTTTTTTTTTTAAAAAAAATCCAAGGGATACTTTGTCGCCCCCCCCCCCCAACAGGGTCGTATTAAGATTTCATTCTTTTTCGTTTATTTCGTACTTTTTTTAAATTTTCAAAAAAAAAAAAAAAAAAAAAGGTTAAGAGTCGTTCTAGAGAGTTGGCAATATTAAAAATGATTTCAATTTATTTAAATTATTAAAAATTGATTATTATTATTATTATTATTATTATTATTATTGGTTAGTTTTTAATGGCGCGCTTTTTTTTTTTTTTTTAGTCCGATGAAAAATTTTTTTCATTTTTAATTAAAATCTATTAATAAATAATAAAATTAAGAACGTGAATTAAAATGAGAAGACGATAAAAAAGAAAAAAAAAAAATAATAATAATAATAATAATAATAATAATTATTATTATTATTATTATTGTGTAAATATTTTTTTTTTTTTAATAGTTGAATTTACGTAATTAATTAAAATGGGAAAACAGGTGGAAATTTTTCTGATATATTTTTTTTTTTTTTTTTTTATAAAAAATGAAATGAAATAATTTTATCGTCGCGTCCTTTTTCTTTCCCTTCCCTCTCCCCTCCACTCCCATTCACCTTCACCTCTCCTCATGAAAAGAAAATGCGAAACAAACGTTTCAAGGTAGAGGGGAAGGGAAATGAGTGTTTAGGTATTATTTAGGGAGATGATTTACTTATTAAATATATATATATACCTATATTAGTTTTCGCATTCGGTCCTGTCGAATGTGAAAAAATTTACGTAGGCGTATGAATTGTCTAACAAAAATTGTAAATGAAACAGCGCTTGAGTAGTCGTGTAAACTACAATTTTTTTTTTTTTTTTTTTTTTTTTTTTTTGTGGGGGGCTTCGATAATAATTATAATCGTGGGTTAGCGTGATCGTGAAGTGTAAATTTTTTTTCTAGAATTTTTTTTTTTTTTTTTTTCTCGGTTATTTTCCCCCCCGGTCGTTTTGGTATCCTGGTATTGAAATTTTTTTAAAATTTTTCTCAGAACGTCGTAGAATTCGTAAATTGAATTCATTTTTTTTATTTTTGTCAAATATTTATTAGGTACGTATATTCCATATTATATTGTAGAGGTATTTAGAATATCGCGCCAAATCGCGAAATCGGGGACATCTGCATGATGACCTCATTTTTTTTTTTTCATTCCTTCCCCCCTTTTAATTCTCTCCTCATTTACCTAATCGGGATATTTTCTAGGGAGAAAATTAAAAATATAAATTTTTCTTTCTTTTTGATTTCCCGTTATGAAAAAAAAAAAAATTTTCCAGGATGTTTTTTTTCCTGGATATATGTTATACTGTTATTTAATTTTTTTTTTAACGACTTTTTTCTTTTTTTTAACGGTTTTTTTTTTTACTTTTCACGATAGTTTTTAATTATTTTTTTTTTTAAATTTTTAAATCCTTACAAAATGAATATTAAAAAAAAATTAATTATTACAATTTAATTATTTCAATTTTATTACTTTAAATCGTTTTTATGTAAGATTAAAATTAAGTCTATTATTATTATTCTCTATTTTGCATATTTTAGGCCTATTATTTACGTTTTTTTTTTTTATTTAATAAAAATTTTCATTAAGATCCATAAGATTCAGTTCGGAATTTTCTTTTATTGAAGTTAAAAAAAGTTATGTCTGGAAAATATTATGTATCGCATATATTAAAAAGTCATCATCATTATCTTATTAAATTATTTAATAATATTATTGCGATGGAGGGAATCAAATCGACCCTATAAACGTGAAAATTTTGAAAAAAAAAAAAAAAAAAAGAGAGAGAGAGGAAAAGTGCGTCACAAAAAAAGAAAATGTCGAGAAAAAAAGAAAAATAGGCGAAAATATTAAAAAAGTTTTTCTATTTCAATAATTACATAAGTGTCCTCCTCCTCCTCCTCCTCCTATCATTTCATTTTGGATTCGTGTCGTCACGTGAATTTTATTTTTTTATTTTTTATATATATATAAAAAAAAAAAAAATTTTCTTTAAATGTTATTGAGTTGCGCTGTAAAGCGTGTGTGTGTGTGTATTATTATCATTATTATTCTCATATAAAAATTTAAGAATCAAATTCCCGGCAAAAATGTGTGAATCACACAATTTATTAATAGAATTTTTTTTTTTTTTTAATTAATTGTCATCGTGATATAATAATAATAATAATATTAATATTATTATTTTTAAATATAAATAAATTTATTCGAGGCAATTTTAAAAAAATTTTATTACAACGATAAATTTGTTTTTTTTTAAAATATATTATTATTATTATTATTATTATTATTATTATTATTATTATTATTATTATTACGTGAATTTTTTTTTGGAAACGATAAATTATTTTTACTTATCAATTAATTTATCAAATAAATTAAATCTGTTATGTAATGTTCCCTTTGTTTGTTTTAATTCTGGCAACGATTGTATATATTGTTTT